GCGCGAGCTGCTGTTCAGGCACTCGGGGTGCCGGTTGCGTCCTGCCGCTCCGCCCGCCTGGTCTCACGTTTTGCCTCATGAACCAAACCTGGCCCTGATCATGATCTGTCTTGCACCGCCGTGCGCCCCAGTCAACATTAAGGCACTCTCTCTCATGCATCTTCAACCCAACTTTGATTGGCGAGGGCTGTATCAATGTGTCAGTTGCACACTTGGCACGCGGCGCGTTTCTGAACTTGCGGCGCTGGCCAAAAGCGCCTTCTGCTTGCTTGCTGCAATGAGCGGCGCTGAACAGCGATCTGCGGTAACCGACCATGGTCATCCGCATGCCACAGGATTGTTACAGCTCAGCCGCAGGCCTTCAAGTGTCACGGCTTCCTAAACTCCCCCTGCACAAACACCCGCCGAAGCGCCTGCCCCGAGCGCCGGTTGCGGTTCACAACGCACGCGTAGCCGCACCGCACCGGCACCAGCCCCGCCGCGGCCCCGAGCGCAGCCAGCCCGTCTGACGTGTAAAAGTAGGCCAGGGTGCCGTCGCCGCGCCGGTAGTACACGTCGTCCGGCCACCACCACGCCTGATCTGAGTGATCTGACGGAACCTTGGACGTGTGATCTGATGCTGCCTCGGAATGATCAACTCGGTCCGGAAGGACCACTTGGTGTGGCGGGATGCGCAGCTGCACCATGTCCCCCAGCCCGTGGTCGCGTATGCACAGCCGCCCGCCGGGCCTCAGCGCCGCCGCATTGTTGCGCAGCATCGGCAGCATGCCGCCCTCCCCGGGCGGCACCGCGGACAGCGTGAACATGATGAGGGCCGCATCAGCGGGGTCCGCTGCCAGGCGGGCGGCCAGGGAGGGGGCCGTCGCGTCGGCGACGAATGCGGAGATGCGGCGTTGGTCAATGCCGTCCGCGGCGGCCGCGGCGCGCAGCTGGTGCAGGCTGGTGGCACTGACGTCGCAGACAGTGGCGCGGGCGCTGCGTGCCGGGGGGGGGTTGGGGGGTCGATCGCCGGTGCAGGCAATGTTGGGTGTGGTGGGCGAGCGGGATGTGAACAGGAGATGTTGGTTGTGGC